TTTCTTTCTTTCTTTCTTTCTTTCTTTCTTTCTTTCTTTCTTTCTTTTTCTTTTGAGACAGGGTTTCTCTATGTACTCTTAGCTGCCCTGGGTCTCTCTTTGAAGATCAGCCTGGCCTTAGACTCACAGAGATCCATCTACCTCTGTCTCCTAAGTGCCGGAATTAAAGGCATGTACCACCACCTCTGGGCTCAGAGTTTGAATCTCTTTTTTTTCTTTTTCTTTTTTTTATTATCATTTTTTACAGTTTATTCAATTTGTATCCTGACTGTAGCCCCTTCCCTTGTCCCCTCCCAATCCCACCCTTCCTCCCTCTATTCCCCTATGCCCCTCCCCTAGTCCCCTGGTAGGGGAGGTGGTCCTCCCCTTCCTTCTGACCCTATCCTGTCAGGTCTCCTCAGGACTGGCTGCATCTTTTATTGGAAATATTCACATAGACGCTACAGGTTGAACATCCCTAACCCATACATCACCTGGATTTAAAATATGGAGGTTAGAGACTTTCAATCTTTTTTTTTCCTTTTTTTTTTCTTTAGTTAGAATGAACAAAGAGGAAATTCAAGTCGTTTCTGCAGCCCTTATTTGTTTCTGACAAATAAGGTAGGAGGAAGGGAGAATTTTCTGAATGCTGATATCAAACTAATAAGAGCAAAATATTTATATAAAAGACACTCACAGGTTTGTAAGAAAATATGCAAGGAGTCCCCTCACAAATGAACACATGTTCAAGGGAATGAGGTGACTCAAATGGCCAAATTCTGTTTGCTTAGAAAGCCTAACTTGCTCTGTCAGCTAAAGATGCTGTGGATGTTCATAGCATCCATAATGGCCCAATCTTCCATAGAAACCTGATATTGCCTTTAAAATGTGTCGTTAGAGTTGGAGCTGGGGAACAGTGGTCAAAGTTACCAAGTTTGGTTTTCAGTACCTGTGGCCAGCCTGGAGCAAGACTAAGATGGAGGGGTGTCCAGATGCTGTAAATCCTGACACTAGCAGGAGTGGGACTGTTGGCTCCCTGTCTTGGGCCTGCATGTCTCAGCTCACATAGCCTTATGGCCCCCACCTCTGCCACCCTTGAGGTGGTCGCTCACTCGGTGGCCAGGTTACAGGTTAAACTTCCTCTTACCTTATAAGGTCATGTCAAGCAAGCCCTTGGGAATTTCTCTTCAAGTAAGGCCTTCCCAGGACCTTGGTCCCAGCAGTGCATACTCACGCCAAAGCCTCTACCCACTCTGCAAAGTTTTAAATAGCCTTTGTTACCCCAATTAAACAAGCTGTCCTACTGAAGCTGTCACTTGAGAAGGCTGTGTTTTGCGCTCACCACTGCCCATGATCCTGCATTGTACCCACCTGCCTGGCTTAGCTTCACTCCCTCCAGCTCTGGTGTGTAAGCCTGGGTACCCCAAGGGGACAAGCAGAAAACAGGCTGGCAAGCACCCATATGGAAGCCAGCTACAACCTCCAGGGAACCCAGTGCCTCTTCTGACTTCCACACTCCTGGGCCCATGCAGTATGCATGCCTACACTCAGGGACACACATAGGCATAAAATAAAAATATACACTGTTGTTGGGAAGCAGAGGAAGGCAGATTTCTGAGTTCAAGGCCAGCCTGGTTTATAAAGGGAGTTCCAGGACAGCCAGGGCTACCCAGAGAAACCCTGTCTTGGGAAAAACAAAAGCAGTTGGCTGTGTTGGTGTAGTAGGTGCTGACTTGGCTCAGAACACAGGAAACACAGAATATAAAGTGTGATCAGAGAAGGCCCCCCTCAATATGATTCAAGTATACTCTAATACAAAGAATAGAATCTAGGCTGGACTAGATTATGAACTGCATTCCAAACATAACTGCATGACCACTAAAACCCAATTTTACCTACCTCCTTATTTATTTGGCAGCAAATCAATTTGAAAACAAAAGCCATAATGATATTATTATTAAGACTTTTATTACAACACCAATTTAGGGGAAAACCCTATGAGTTGTAATTCCTATGATTACAAATTACTCCTTTGAGTTGGATAACAGGAATTTAATCCCAGCATTCAAGAAGCTGAAGTATGAAGATTATGAGTTCAAGGCCAGCCTTAGACTGTGCAAAGAGATCCTGTCAAAAGAAAGGAAGGAAGGAAGGAAAGGGAAGGAAAGAGGGAAGGAAGGGAAAAGCAAAAGGATGCATCATGTCACCTGGGAAGCAGGAACACTGGGCTGCCCACATAACAATGTCCACTTATCAAACTAGCTTCTTCTTGTCTTGACCACAGCATGCCCAGGATAGATTCTGGCAGGGGAACTGGCGTCTGGGAGGGCAGTGTGAGTCTATCTGGAGCCCAGTAGCTGCTGCTTAAGAAGAGGACTTGTCAGCTAAGAGTGCTCGCTGCTCAAGCATGAAGGTCTGTTTTAGAGCCCTAGCACCAAAAAAAGCATGAACAGCTTCAAGCACCTGCAGCTGCCATGCTGAGGCTGGGCATGGAGACATCTGCCCAGCCCAGGTGAAAATGCTGAGCTCCAGGTTCAATGGGAAACTTTGTTCAAGGAAAGAAGGCAGAGAGTAAAGAGGAGCCCAACATCCTCCTCTGACCTCCACCTGCACATGCGCACACACACACACACACACACACACACACACACAGAGAGAGAGAGAGAGAGAGAACACTGTTTCCAGCCTATTTTTAAGTGCAATTCAAGTCCCCAAATCTGCAGTTTACAGCTGAAAAGATAGGAAAGAGCCTGACAATGAAATCATCAGCCCACATTAGCCGGGCACTTTAAGTTCTGCTGGGCATGAGGTTGCATACTGTTAGACCTGGCCAGCATTTGAGGCTGAATCAAGGCCAGCCTGGTGTGTGAGTGTGTGCCTCTTACACTCTCACTGAGTCTTTCTTACTGAGTGTGCAGCAGCTCTGTGAAGTCAGCTGTGTAGTTCTCCCCTGTACACCTAAAGGAGCAGAACCCTTAATAGTGAAGTGGCCCGGGACCACATAAGTACTAAATGGCAGTCACGTCTCAACATCCATCCATGTCTTTAAACTATGGCAAGCCACTTTTTGCCGTGCAGACACACACATGTAGAGGGCCTGAGAGGGTAGGACCATGGTCACTCTACTTCCTGTTTGAGTCGATAGTTTCCTCCCTTACATCCTCTTAATAACATATTTATCATGATACATGCTCTCAGGACACACTGTGTATTCAGGGACTGTACTAAACTGATGTAAAAGTTACTGGATTTTTTTTAGCTTTGAGAGAGAATGGGGTTTAGATTTTTAAATGGAATTATCAATCATCTGACTTGAGTATTTCAAGTCAGACTCCTATGTATTTCTAGCAGACTCCTATGAAGGAGACTGTCTCCTGTGCTATTAAAAATTGAGCTCATGACTACTGTCTGTGATTTTTTTTTTCTCTTTAGAGTCAGAGGTCAGTCTGTGACCTCATGTCGAAAATAGCCACCAAGGATCTACCCAGGATCACTTTTAGTTCTTTAATTTTGGCAAGCACACATTTTTCAGGGCAGATTAAATTTGCCTGATGTATTTTAGAAGTATGTATTGCAAAGCACAAGCGAGGATCCACAGAGCAGAGCTGGCAAGCTTTAATGGCGGTGAGCATTTCAGAAGGGAAGCATGTACCTGAAGACTTTGGTTACTGCATTTCCAGAAACTTCTTCCCATCTTTTTCATTGTCATTCAGAGCATAATAGTGTTTTCTTGATATCCAGTTGACATGGTGCTAAAGTGCCTTTTTCCTTGGTATTTTCAAGAAAGAAGTAGGAGTATGCCATTTTTGTTCTTCTGTACCTTTGAAGACACTAGAACTTAATGAGTGATATTTACCATGAACATTTCTCAAAGTTTGTTTCTTGCCTCTGAGCCTGCTGTGGAGAATTAGTACAAGGTTGAAGCATGCATGGATAAAATAGATCGTCTTAAAGGATTGCAGCTCCAAAAATACACCAGCAGGACTGGGCAGGTTTGACATAATGACGTCCTATTTTAGCCTGACTTCTGGAACTCTGAAGAACTATGAATTGAGCCACAGGAGCTCTGAAGAAGGAGCCTCTTCTGAGCGCGTAGAGGATGTTCTTCAGACTCTGAAAAGATTTGTCTGTTGTCGGTTTCCTACAGAATGAGACCGTTGGTACTTACCAGCATTAATAGAGGAAATGATAGAAAGCCCTGGTCCATATCATACTGAAAGCCAAGTTTGACTTCAGAAACCAGGAGCTCAGAGCGGGCGTGTGCATAAGCAGCAGCCGAGATGGCAGAAGCAGCTGTGGGTGCTGCGACTCAGCCGGCAGCCGTGAAGAAGAAGAAGAGCCTGTCCATTGAGGAAAAGATTGACATCATAAACGCAGTAGAGAGCGGCAAGAAAAAGGCAGAGATCGCAGCTGAGTATGGAATAAAGAAAAATTCCTTGTCATCCATTATGAAAAACAAAGACAAAGTTCTAGAAGCCTTTGAGTCTTTGCGATTTGACCCCAAGAGAAAAAGACTGAGAACAGCATTTTATACAGATCTGGAAGAGGCGCTGATGAGGTGGTATCGCATTGCTCAGTGTCTAAATGTCCCAGTCAACGGTCCGATGTTGCGTCTAAAAGCTAACGATTTTGCCCAGAAGCTGGGACACAACGATTTTAAGTGCAGCAATGGCTGGCTGGACCGTTTTAAGTCCAGGTATGGCTTGGTGTTCAGAGCGCAGCCGGCAGAAGCCACGGGGATACCCGTAGACCCCTCTACTGTCTGGTACCAGAACGTCCTTCCCTATTACCTAAACGATTATCACCCGGAAAACGTCTTCAACGTGAGAGAGACGGGGCTGCTCTACCGGCTGCTACCGACGAACACCTTTGCCTTCCGAGGGGAAACATGCTCAGTTGGAAAGCTGAGCAAAGACAGGATAACCCTGGCGGTCGGCGCGAATATGGATGGCTCCGAGAAGCTCCCTCTGCTTGTCATCGGGAAGAGCCGAGCCCCACGCTGTTTCAAAGGCATGAAGTCCCTGCCCGTGTACTACGAAGCCAACAGGGCGGCCTGGATGACGGCGGCCATCTTTGAGCAGTGGATGCTGAAGCTAGACGAGAAATTCCAAGCCCAGAAACGAAGAGTGGTGATCTTCGTGGATTCTTCTCCGGCACATCCGGAGGTGAAAAACCTGAAGTCCATTGAGTTAGCGTTCTTCCCGTCGTGCGTGGCTTCCGAGTTCGCAGCCATGAAACAAGGTGTTATTAAAAGCCTTAAAATCAAATACCGCCATTGCCTTATCAAGAAATTTTTAAGTTCTGTCGAAAGCAGCAAGGAGTTTACCTGTTCTCTGTTAGATGCGGTCGACACACTGCACCTCTGCTGGAGAGCTATAACCGCGGAGACCATTGCCAGGAGCTACGAAGAAGCGGGGTTCGTGTCTCCCAGCGGGGAAAGGGAGCCGGCAGCGGCCGAGCGCGCCGCTGCTCCCGACCCGACAGCCTGCGCCCTGGGGGCGGCCGTGGAGTTTCCCGAAGGCCTGGCCATAGAGGAATACGCTGCCCTGGATGAGGACCTGGAGACCTGCGAGGCCGCGAGGGACGGCGCGGAGAGGGGCGGGGGGAGCGGACAAGGCGGAAGCGGGGCCTGCGCTTCCGACGAGGAGGACGACGACGGCGGAGCTCCGGAAGGGGACCCGCCCTGCCCGGCCCAGCCCGAGGCGGCCGCAGCCGTGCGCACCCTGAAAAGGTTCCTCAGAAGCCACGACGTGAAGGCCGAGCTGCACGATTCTCTCGCAGACCTTGAGAACTTCGTTAACGCTGCGCCGCCTAAGTAGCGGGTCCTGCGGCTCCCAGAGGGGCTTCCCTGGGGAGTCCTCAGAGAGCAGAGCAACCCTCGGCCGAACTGCAAAGCCTTTGATCCGCATCGCAGGGCGCCTAGTGAGTGAGGACTAAGTAGAACTGCACAGCTCCGTTTAGCAGGTTTGCGGAGACTAAGAATGTGTCTCAGAGGCTTTGTACTTGAAGGAAACAGTGTGTGTGAAAGAACTCCAGCCGGCTGACCCACACGTGAATTCCTGGTTTCCAGTTCTTCCTTTTTAAATTCAGATCGTGTTCTAGGATATTTTCATGTTATTGTAGTCTAAGAAAAAAATAGCTTATTTATTTTATAAAGCCATATGCAGGCCACCTCTGTCCTAATGAGTTCTTTGTTCTCTTTCATCTTTTGCATAGTTTTCCAAGACACAGTCTCACTGCGTAAGTCCAAGCTGCCTCAAAGGCATGGCAATGTTCCTGCCTCAGCCTCTCAGGTGCTGGGATTGTATAAACCAGTATGCACAGTTCTAATTAAACTTTTCAGTACCGTAGTGGTGTGAAATTGTCATAGTTAATCTTCCTGGCTGAAGAAAACTGTGAAAAATGCACCCTAATCTGATAAACAACAAACTGGCTGCTTTCGAATCACTTGTCAAATTAAGTGGCGGGGACAGAAGTGGCCCTGCCATCTATCACAGGACTCGGGTCCCTCTGCCGGACATACGTGTGTGCCTACCTAGTGGGAAGACACTTGAAGGAAAGTTATTGAACTCATATTTATGTTTGATAAGGCTAAATCTTGAGCCATTGCAGATGCCCATAGAATTAGCAAAAAGAAAAGTTGTGGTACTTATTTTTTAATCGCAACAGCTCAGTTTTTAATCTAATCTTGTTCTTCATTTTACTGAATTTTGTTTTCAGCACATTATGATATTTAGTTGTCTTCCTCCAAGTTTTTCTTCTTTAAATTTTTTAGAGACAGTTTTACCTATATAATGCATTGAAATACTGTAAGAAATTAATCACACTCCAAAAATAGTCATTGAACAAAATTTTAACAATGTGTCAGTCTTTCCCACCGATTGAAGTAGCATGTTTAATTTACTATACCTAAGTTAGGTCTCTTTGAAAAGTATTTTACAGAAATACAAAGCATAATGATTTGTTGTGAACTATTAATCTGCTAAAAGATTAGAAGAAAATAACCTAACAGCATTTTTACTTTGTTGATTTGCTCTGCTCTGAGGATTGAGTAATAATTGAATTTTAAAATGTATTAATACTTTAGAAGTTTCTCTTATTATTAAACATTATTAAATGGTTTAAATTAAAAGCATTTTGTGGTTTGATGTGTAATTGACCTAAACGAGTTCTTGAGAGCCCCTTTGTCTCTCAAAACAAAATTATTTAGTTAGTCTGGCTTTAAAATTTCTCTTAAAATTTCATTGTTCTTGCTTTGTAAGTTCTTGCTGTTTAAATGGTGCTTTTTAGCTCTTATTAACCAAGAATAAATCTTGAATTGCATTTAGGGTATTGTTACTGAGCTACTTATTGGAAGGTTTAATTCTAGTTAAAGCAGGAGCTGGCCTGCCTCCTATGTAAACTGAGCCCTCACTGAAACCTTTCACTTTATGGGAGGCAGATTAGCTGGAAGTAGGGAGCAAGGAGGGAAGGGAAACTGAAGGAAGCTGTCCAGGCACACACTTCCCAGGTTAAGAGAAACCCTTCTACTGGGCCAGCAGGGCCCAGCTCCCCGAGGACAGGCAGCTGGAACACAGACATCTGCTTTCAGGTTCACAGTACCATGGAGAGCTGAACTGGGCCTCATAGAGCTCCGTGAAATAAACATAGCACAGAGCAGGAGGCAGGAGGCCATGGCCAGTGGGTAAAGGAAGATGCTAGTGTCCTTACCAAATAAAGCAGGGACACGGCTATGATAAACAGGGACCTAGAGGCATAGGGAAGAGTTGGTGGCAACTGCACTACAGATGGCGTGGTCTTCTTCACGCCTCCCTAACCGACAGCGTCAGCTTCTGGATTAGACAGCTCTTCTGCCTAGTTAGAAGAAAATCAAAGGGATTAGGCGCCCACTTGATTCTGTGTTTGCTTGTCTTGTTCTTAGTTGGCAGCTTTCAGCCGGTTTTTGACAGCTGGGACAGTTGTGCGATCTTTTTAGATAGCTAGAGAAAACTAAGTACATGGCAGGCCCCTGGGTTGATCCTATGTTTTGTCAGACGTAACAACTAAGCGAAGAGTCCCAGATAGTCTTGTTTCCTGAACTAGAAGCAAAGGAAGAGGGAGGACAGGACAGCTGTCCACCCTCACTTCCTCTTTGCAAGCCTGTTGTGAATGCACAGTCACTGCAGTGTGCTGGTAGCTGGTACCACACCTACCCGCCACATTGCAAAAGAGATGACTCAGCACCGTATGAGAACCATTTTCCAGCTTCCATGGGAGCAAATGCGGACCCTTCCCCCGAAGAGGAGCTGAAAGTCCACTTGTCAGCCCCCAGATGTCCTTAGCCCTACACCCACCGGGCATCCACTCATCTACCGTGTTGTTAAGTCCTGCCTAGCTATACCAACCCTGTGCTTACCCCCAGAGGTGATTCTGGGAGAAGTGTGGATTCTACGGCATCTGAATAATTGCCAGAAGGAAGTATAGCTTGAACCAAGAGACAATTATACCAGTGGAAGGGTCAAGCTTGATTTCCACTGATGGAAACTAGAGGCGTGGGAGCAGGTAAAGCTAGTTTAAGAGCGTAGTTCTTCATTCCTGAGCCATGTGCTCACTGTGTGAGTCAGACCTAGAGCACAGGTGAGGAGCCTGCCGCAACATCTGTTTGAACTCGAGCTGTGCAATTTCAGCTGCCAACCTTGGTTACTGGGTATTTGGTTTTTAAATTCTAGATTTGATCGTTGTTTTCCAGATCTAATTATTCTGTTAGAGAAAATGTTAACCCTTGAGATGAACAAATTGATTTCCCCTAATTTTCAGTTGCTGGGGTGGGGCACCTTACAGGCAGAATTAGTTCTAACCTGGTGACTAAAGATGATAATTAGAAAGGGTTTATCCAGCTCATGGCTCTGGGCACTGAAGGTTTAATGATGAAAGCAGACAAAAAAAAAAAAAAAATCCCTTCATCATGGCACTGGGAGGTTGGTGCAGGAAGCAAGCGGTATTCAATAATGACGACCGGACCCCTTGGAACACGGCATCCATGTCTACAAAATCAGACAATGTGAGTCTTTAACCTGGTCCTGAGGCAGGCGCAGGAGCGAGGCGACAAAGTGCCGAATCCTGAGATTTGGACTGGAAGGATAAATTGGAGTTTAGCTAGGCAAGAGAGAAGAGAGAGATCATTGTGTGCCAGGCTCTGAGGGAAGTGCCTGCCTCAGTTGGGAGCTGAGCATCCGAGGAAGAAGCAGCTTGAGGGAGGAGGGACCTGGCCTTGGAGCGACTCGCTGGGTTAGGGTTCACTGAAGAACCACTGTGTATGTGAGAGTGGGCGGGTGGGATAAAGGGGGCAGGCAGTCAGGAAGAAAAGTTTTCCATCTTTGTTTTTGAAAACCCCAATCCTAAGCAGCGGCGTGGGCCTCAGAACGGAGGCAAAGTGTGAGAGAGAAAGGACCCAGCTAAGCCGCTGCCGCCTTGCAGAGCTTAACACACGCTTGCCAAAGGGACCTCCTAGCTGGGCTGGAGAGCCCCATCACAGAGCAGAGCGGTGTGCAGTCAGGAGACCCTCGCCTGAGTCCTTAACCGCACGTGGCCAGAGAGGGCTAGAGTGCAGAGGCCAAGGAAGACTAGGGGAAGCTCCATCTAGGCAGCTAAGGAGCCTTCATCTCTTCGGGGGTAAAAGCTTTCCAGGCGTGGCCTTTTATGGGGGTGGGGACGCCCACACTCCTGTAAGTAAGCCCTCACCTCTCTGCTTGTGAGGAAGCCCAATAGAGTCACTGGTTCTCCAGGATGAACTTAGCAAAAGCATCCCTTGTTTTTGTCACTAGGGCCTTAGAAAGAAGGGTAGACATTGTTTCCCCCAGGAAAGGAATTTTAGCAACATCTCCTAACATTCAAAAACATCCCTTCCCATTGTAGGAGGAAATGCACGGGAGAAAGGCACTGCAAGGGAGACAGGCAGGCCTCTGCGCCTCAGCTGACAGAGCCTTGGTTCTTGCCGGCCTTTCACCCCTAGGAAACAGCTGAAGGAGGTTACACCAACATTCCATACACCTTGGAGATCACCATCAAGGTCACTGGAGGGATGTCATGTGAAGGCCAGGATGGTGGGACTGAGTGCTGCTGTGGCCCAGCGCTCCTGCAGTGAGCAGCTGCCAATGCCTGCCTGGTCTTGGGCTGGGATGCTATTCCATCACAGCATCCCAGGAAGACGTCCCTTGAGAGCAATAAATAAATAAAATAATAGATAACATTTCGGTAATAGTCATTCTTCACTGATCATGTCATTTTGATGGTTTGGTGGTACATCTACATAGCTTTGTAAATATTACTTTTATTAGGCTGGGTGGTGACTCACACCTGTAATCCCAGCACTTGGAAGGCAGAGGCAGGGAGATCTCCATGAGTTTGAGGCTAGCCTGGTCTACAGAGTGAGTTCCAGGACAGCCATGGCTACTCAGAGAAACCTTGTCTGAGAACAAAAACAAAACTTTTATTGGTAGTCCATACGGCCTTACCTTGCTCCACCCCATCCTATTTAGTTAACAAGATGCCAGCTTTACTCCATGGACTGTCCCTGCTTTTGCTTTCTGCGGGAATCCTCACCACCAGCCTAGGCAGCCATTCTCTCCAAGGTGAGCGTAGCAGACACAGACTCTGCTGAGCAGTTTACAAACCTCCCTGTACCTCCTCCTAATTTACTGCCCAGAGAGCGGCCTCAGTGTGTGGGAAGCAGATGGATGTTTCTGGAGGGTTTTGTAGGACCTGAGGGAGAGAGTGTGTCCTTAAAGCTAATACGGCTCAATGACTTAGCCCCACTCCCATGAAGACTGCAGATGTTCCAAGCCCTCAAGCAATTCTGAAAACCTTGTCAAGTTCTGAAGGCCATGGAGTCATTAGATAAAGTTAGCTTTTAGACACCTCCTGTGTCTATTTGGGGGGTGCCTTTAGTTTTTGAGGGGGTTAATGTCTAACATGCTTGGAGCAAGTGTTCCCATCTCACTTGTTAAACTCGAGACTAGCAGGTGGGAAGAGATGTCTTATACTACTGACACCACAAGGACATTTCGCTTCAGATTTTCTCCAAAAGAGAGGTGTATAGAAAGTTAAAATCAGATGAGAGTCATTTCTTTTTTCTCTCCTAGTACTGGAGATTGAATACAGACCCCCTGTCTGTTAGGCAAGCATTCTACAGCAGAGCAGCAGCCCAGGCCCATGGGGTTACCGTTAAGAACCCACTGGTCTGGTTGAGGGTGTTGATTAGGGCTAGAACACTTGCCTGGCATCCACAGGTCCCTGAGTTCCATGCCCAGCACAATGGATACATGCATAAATAGAAAGAAAAATAATAAAGGAAGAGAAAAACATCTTGCTGATCATAAACTCTTTGCTAGTAAAAGTTACGTGGACTATTCAAACAGGTGAAAACAGAGACCTAGCCGCTACACCTGCCCTTCCGTCTCACCTCCCTGTGTCTTAAATGCCTCGGTGTTCTGAACAGAGCCTTGGAGAAATGGAACAGACTTCATCTCCTAAACCAGTGTCTTAGCTAAGCCTGCTTTGGCACACTCCTTTTTCCTTTCTCCTTTGACTGCTATTTCTGATTATGTTATTTTAATAGTTTGCTAGTATATTTTTATGAGGACGCCTCTTGCCAAATCCAATTAAAAAAAAAAAAAAACCTAAAAAGGCCTCGTGCTCCTTGTAAGCGGAACAGAGTCTGGGATTTAGCACAGGCTGAGTCTCCATAACAAGGAGACACTCAGGGTGACACTCTCTGAGCTGTCACTTAGGGAAGCATCAGAGACAAAGCGTTAACACAGGCAGATCCCAGGTACCTGGCCATGCCCCCTGAGGAACAGCATGTCTTCTGTATTCAGAGAAAAGAGAACAGCTCAGCCATAGTACCAGCGTTAGTTCCAGGAGAGAGATGACTGCCACAGACACACAAACCTTTTTGGAGAGTCTGGTGTGCCGTATGAGGCAGCACAGAACTTACAGAGGAGCGAGACTTGTGTCTGTCTTGGTTTTACCATCTAACTGGGGAGGTGTCTTAGACACTCCAGATGATAAAAATCACACTTTGTACATGGTTTAGAGCCAGTGCAGCAGAGCCCAAGAGAGCCGAGCAGTTTATTGCGAGCTCCCGCAGTGGAAAAGCTCCTGAAAAGCTTCAGGCTGGGACAGATGGGCACTAAAGCCAGGCAGAGGACCCAAGGCAGGCAGGGATGATCCAGGCTCTTCAGAAGGATGGCTACAGGTTTCCTTTTACAGTTTCTGAGTCAGACAACAGGGAGAGCATGTGTTCTCTTTCAAGTTTCCAAGCAAGTGTAGCTCTTAAGAAGGAAGTTCACGGTCTCACCTTGTCTTCCTTGTAGATAAATCTCTAAAGCCCCACCCCTGATTTCATGAAGTGCCGATAAAGGGGGAACATCCTTCCATTCCAAATGTGCATGTGACCTTCACAAAGATACACAGACAAGAAAGGAAAGTTAGCCCTGAACTCAGGCCTTTCAAATATATCTAGGGTGGGGTGGGATAAAAGGATTAAGTTGGAAATAACAAGAGTCCAAGAGTGCTGAGGTCAAGAAAATTATTTTAGGGAGCTGGAAATTTATATTAAGCATTTTGAGGAGTAGCTGGAAGTCAAGAAGGTTCATGTTACTTCTTGTTTCTTGTCTGAGCAGCAGCAAGCCGCCTTAGAAGGACAGAGCCTTTACAGGACAGAGCTTGAAGGCAGACCCCTCACTCAGCTTTAATTTCCAGTAATTCAGTCTCAGCAGAATTTGTATTAAGTTAAGCATAAGTGTACAAGTGGGCAGAGGTCAGGGTTCTCTAGGGGAGCAGAACCAACAGGATGAACACATGTTAATAGAAAACACTGCTTTAATAGATCCTTGTGTTTGGTGCTTGAAATATGCTTGGCATTGAGCTAAGCATTTTATGTAAATTAAGGCATGTAACATCCTAATAGCAATACTACCTTTTTACAAAGTGTGCCTGCTTCTTAGATTCATATATGATGCTGCTCATATTTAGCTGGGTGACTGGTGAGGAATACATTGTGTAATGACTAGGGCAGGTCCTGTCTTGATTCTGCAGGTGGACAAACTGTGCATGTTCAGGCCAGAGTGTAAGCTCTTTAGAAAGAGTCAGTCCCTCCCTCTTCCCCTCCCCCTCCCTCTGTGACTTGGGTGATGTGGGCAAATATTCTCTGAGCCTCCATTTTGAATCTATTATCTGTTAAGAGAATAAGAATGTCTCACAGGCTGCAGGAATCCAATGAATCGCATGCCAGTGCTTTAGAAATGGCAAAAAAAGGTTCATTATTATCATTGTGTGATGGTAATACAAGCGGGTTGGTGTTATTCTGCCAAAGAGCTGGGTGTTTCTTCTTTTCAGGATTGATGCTCTGCCATGACTGGAGGTGACAAGAGAGAAAGGAAAGAAAGAAACCTGAGCTGTAGGAACACAGGCAGAGAGCTGGAAACTGTGTCTCAGGTTTGGAAGAGTGTGAAATAGCACATCCCTGCAGAGAGTTTAGGGTGGGAGAGGCGGTTGATGCTGCAGCCTGGCAAAGGTGGAGCCCACCGGTGGGTTCGGGTCCTCTTCCCATGCTGAGCCCTGGGAGCCCTTCTGGTCTGCCTCAGCTGGGCAGCTGCTTTCCTGGCGACCTGAAGCTGCATCATGTACGGATTCCTGCTTGCGCCTCTTTCTTTGCAGTGCCAGGAATTGAACCCACAGCCCCACACATACTAGGTAAGAGCTCTACCACTGAGCTCTATGCTGGTTCTCAACAATCCTTCTCATCCATTTTTAGTTGTTTTTTTCTAGATCCTCAGCCATTCTGTAGCCCATAAACTAGAAGAAACAAGGCCACACCTAAGGTTTTCCCCCTCGATTCTTCTGCAGTTAACATACTGGCTCCCAGTCAGACTTGAATCAAAAAGTGTTGGGAAAAATTGTCTCTGCATCTGAACTCAAGCAGCAGGGAGAATGCATAACTCTGGTGCCCATGTAGAGGGCTTCGGAACTCACTCGGCTAAGAGTGTGTCTCTCATTGCTAGTACAAAACTCTGCTTCCATTCTCTGAACATGAGTTCCTGAGCTGACCTTGAGAGCAGCCAAGCCATCTGAAGTCACTGTACCAACATTCAGAAAACCGTATGTCAGTGCCAGCATCCCAGCCCATCTCCCTCAAGGGCCTTCCTGTATCTGACTGCCCTTGACTGCATGTATCTGTAATAGGCTGGAATTCAGTTTGGGGATTTGAGTATAGGTGTGACAGATTGATGCTCTCTTTTAATAACTCAGTCTGTGAAGTACAGACTAGCTTGGAGGAGTCTGGAAGGGAAGCCCAGCAGGGTTGTATTATTGAACTTGCTCCGGGCACACAAATATCTTTGTCAGTCTCAGAAGGGCCAGGGAGCAGCCTGTTCACTGAAAACGTTCAGACATTGCAAGGAGACGAAATGGCACTTTGAATGAAATGAACTGTCACCCATGATGAACTGGGATGTCTGGGAAAGGGAAGAGGAGACAGACAAGGGTGATGGAGCTGACAGTCGCACGAAGACAGCCGCTTAGCATAAGTTAATTTAGCAGCTCGCCCAGTCTGGAAGGACTCGTATATCTGCTTACACCAGTCTCTGACAGGATGGTGAAGGGCCGAGGGTACAAAGGGCTGTTCCCAAGCACATGATATACCTTCTGTACGAGCTGCACAAGCATAAGAAAGACCAAGAAGAATAGCATCTTCCTTCGTCTTTCCCAGAGTCTTGCTACCCTTGTGTGTTGTGATTAATTTAATGGTATGGTCTAATAATGTTTATGATTCTCCCCATAATTACCACTTTGGTATTATCTAACCCACTTTCACAATAAAAAACACAGGCACCTGATAGGTTTTAGAATAGCCTTATCTTACCTGGGGTAGGGCAGATATTAACTCTCTAAACTGCCTTTAGCTCC